CAGCTTCCATGTATCCATTAAAATCTATTCCTAATCTTCTTTCTTCTTCCTTCCTAATACGGTTGTGAAGGTTTCTTTCCACATAGATTTCAAAGACTTCCAGTGTTCTTCCACACAGGTTTCTTCAGAGATGTTGATAGATATCTCCATTTTGTCTTGATGGCTGAAGTGAAGATTTCCTTTGTGGTTTCGTCCTTCAGTTTCCGAGTGTTGAACTTGAACTGTGGTCTATCACCAGCTTCCTTGAAGGCTTTCAACTTGATTTGGAAGGTTCCTTGCACTATATAGTGACTGGTCTGAGCCTACATCTGCTCCTCTTCTTGACCTAATCTTGTGTCCAGTGGGCTGCGTCTCCACTTTCTTTACAATGCGATAAAGTCGATCTGATTTTTAGTGTTTCCTGGTGTCTGGTGAAATCCATTTTGATATCGACAACTGAGGTCTTGTCCAGTGTTGATTGAAGTTGTCTGTATAATTCCTCCTCCTTCTCTTGCTCTGCATTATTTGTAGGTGCATAGTGTAGCATTGTATGATTGTGACCTTCCTTCCTTCCTTTTGAGTTGAACCTTGCTGTCATGATCCTGATCATGGAGGAGATTGGTTCCCACTGCATGAGAGAGAGCCTTCGATGCTCTTGGGGACATCATGAGAGCCACTCCATAACTCAGTGTGCTCTTCTCGTGGTTGTCGTCTGGGTGACAATATCGGAGTAGATTATTGATTCTCCAGTTGACAGTTTGGAGAGTCCACTCCCATTCCATCTGCTTTCGCAAATTCCTAGCACTTCAATGTGATACCTCTTTATCTCCTTTGCAATCTGGGCTGCCTTGTTGGGTTCAAAACATGGTGTGGATATTCCATGTCCCCACGTTTACTCTCGCTTTCACCGAGAGAAGACACATCAGCCAATTGGCTTCCCGAAGGCAGGCTTTCACCAACTGGCGTGATTTAGCCTCTCCGATTCCAGGGAGGAATAATTTTGTTATTATTTTTTATATGTCGTTTGTGCTTTGAAGTTTGTTTAACGGTTAGATTTGTTTTACGGGGTAGGGTTGCTAGCCTTATACCCAACCTTCCCTCTTTATGTGGGCTTAGGACCGGCTAGTAACTAGTGAACTAGTTAACCAGGCGAGGTTGAGATTTTAAATTTGCGAAGTAGTATCTTAAGTGAATCTAAAACCAACCAGCGTTTGTCTTTTATTTCCATAATTTTCCGTTTACACTAGCCAAGTAACCATAATAAAGTTATATGAAACAATCATTTTGCTCACATTCAGTGCCAAAAACAAATCGGATAACTCTAATGTGACAATAATACCCCATTCGACGGAGGATCACAACTTCGTCGACAAAATGGTCTGTCATGTCGAGTAAGCTTCGTTTAGCCTCGACATCCCCGATATGGTGATTCCACTAAACATGAGAAATGCTACGAAACATCTGTATTCAAAAACACCTTCTCTAGAGTACCATGTATTCTTAATGACTGCTTACCCATGAGTGTTTAACACCATTTCTGTCTACTGTGATAAAAAGCTAGTATCAAGTAATTCATAATAATTTCTGCACCACTAATTATGGATGAGGATATTCCGAGAAGCTGTGAGATAAGTAATTTAATCTATATGACAAGTAAATAATTCGAAACAAAAAACTATGGGACATGCAAATATCTAAATTTCGGTTTACCATTGATAATATTGAGTGCCGAATTCAAAACCTCTTTTTCTGCTGCCAAATTTTTAACATTTGTCAAGTCGGAGAGTTTCCAGGTTTGCTGTAAATGACCGGAGTCAACCCACTTAGCTGCTATCAGAGGAAAGTCACCCCAACCAGTTAAATGCACACTGGGACCAACAGGATGAGAACCATCTTGATCCAGTTCCTCAAACAAAAATAATGGCGCTCCAAGAAGGCGACCACGAAGACATACTGCTACCTCAGATTTAGCATTTCCCCCGTCTACCTCTATATTCAAATCAAAATAAGTGCATAAGGTTATAAATATTGACATTTTACAGGCAAAACAAGTAAACAATCTCGAAAACATTTCTAATCAACGTTTGACATTGAAATAGAGTACAAATAACCAGTAAATTTACGCTGAATAATCCATATTTTGAAAGTCTGACAAGCTATGATTGCGAAGTCTGTTCATTAACTTTGTGCACAATCATGCAGTAGACAATGAGCCACATATCGTGTAAGGAACTATGACACTAACTGGTTAGAAATCAAGTGCATACACCAATTAGCTACAGTTCCGCACTTTCAATTGCACCGAAGAACAAATCAACGCAAAACCTTCCACAGAAGTTCTTCAGTTTTAATTTCCTCATTCTCGGCAGTATATAGAGAGGAAGTGTACAATCATAGAGTGAGCTTAAATGAGCGAAAAGGCGTGAAGGTATAAAGGAAGGTTACTGCAAATGTTCAAAATTTCAATGAGTGTATGCATGTGCACCAATAAGAAAAATTGAGAACTATTTTATGAACAGTTTTCAACCATTGGTCTCCATTAACTAAAACCATCCAACCTACATGGTCGTAAAGAAAAGTGAGAAACTAAATTAATTGTTAACGTTTTGGTCTCGCTTCTTTCAGCTTTCTTCACAGCTAATTTTACCTCGACTGGCATTACATGTAGAAGTGAGCAGCGGGTCAGCAAGCTCAACCCATCAACGTAATCAAAGTCAGTGCACATGCACAGCTTCACCGACTGCTTTATCTTCCCTGTCTAGTATTCTACATCTAACCTCACCATCCCTCAAAATCCAAGGCTAGATAAGCGAAAATCTGTAGCCTCTTAGTGGATTTTATTCCACAGACCTGTGATGTGATGGAGTGAAATGTACATTATACTCACCCTTCGATTTACAATTATATATATATATATATATATATATATATATATATATATATATATATATATATATATATATATATATATATATCCAATGCCGCAGGCATTTCACATTGTATTCGCTGGCATATTTAACATTGACTTCATAATTTAACGCTTGTTTAATTGTCCTGGTGTGGAAAATTCTATATTCTCCCTGCTGGTTTCAAAGTTGTTGATTTACCGTCAACAGCACCTGGACCCTCGAATGTTAGTTGCCACCAACTTCACATGCTATACCTGGCCTCTACCTTACCCAGACACACAAGCATTGAGAAAGTGCCTTTTTGTCAGAGGGAGCAGTGTAACACTTTCGAAATTTTACTCATCTACTTTCTGGTTTTAATTTCAAAACTGCCTTATCTCGATGTGAATCATCATCGTTTGTCAACTATCCTTCACTATTAAATATAAGTACATTCTTCGCGTTTGCTGAGTCACTGGCCCACGGTTATCCCGTCCTCTCTCCTACATATTCTCATACTGGCTTAGCGAACTGCCACCGTCAAAATTACACACATGCATCCACGTGCACACACACCCCTCTGCAAAACGTGCCTAAAGGTCAGACAAAAATTTACCAACAGCTGGTCTCTATACTCTCAGTGTCGGAGGTAGGACTCCGCTCACTCACTGTCATTCACGGGTGCACTTAACACCAACCATCTTCACTTACAACTGTGTACTGGGATGTTGTATTGACAGTAGGTCAACAAATTTGAAACCAGTAGGAGGTAGATAGAATGTTCTAAGCCAGGATAATTAAACTGGCTTTAAATTAAGACGTCAATGGTAAATATATCAATATGAAATGCCTACTACAGAAGTTATTGCATAACAGAAATGAAAACTCACTATTTTCAGCAGCTAACTCAATGGAATCAACAAGTAAGCGTGATCGGTAGCGTGCTCCCGTATGTGTTACTACAGACTGTCCAGCTACTTTTGCATTCTTTGTTTTTACATGTAAGCTTGATGGATTGGTTGACGCGATATGCCGTAGAAGATGAAGTGCATTGGAGCTTGAATTAAGTTGATGAATTGTAGATTCTGGGACAGGAAACCTGCACTTTTATCAAAACAGACAACGTATGCCCTGAATGAATACCTTAACCAAGTTTTTGTATGAAAAATAATAACAAAACTCTTATTTTTTAGGCTCGAACTGAATTGCTCAACCATAATATGGATTGCACTCATCAACAAGTAATTTGTGGTTAAAAAGTAGTGTAGATACATCTTTCTCCAAATTGTTTTTCATAGCTCCTATTTTCGATGTCCTATGATTTCTCAGAATCGCTGACAGTCATTTCCGTTTCAATGATTCTTCCTTGCTAGCTCCCACCCCTAAGTGTCCCATATAATCCTCATGTTATTCTGATACTTTAGAATCAAAAATGGATGTTCTGCCTGATTGCCTTTGTGGAGTGTGGCGACGAACTTTTATGTAACTGTGAATATACAACGTTTATATGTTGCTAAAATGTCTGCCTTTCTATCATTAAATTGTTTTCTTGAGACGTCATCATTTTCAACATGGGACCAGGCATTACTGCATAGCGGTCCGAGTTGCCACATATCACGTCAATTCATCAAGTAAAAAGGTAGTGAGGTGAAGGATGAAGATAAGTGAATGCAGTCAAAAGAAATATAAAGTACGAGAAGAAAGGAAAGAGGAGTGACAAAATAGTGAGATTCGGTATAGCGTTGTTAAGATGAGGATAATGTGTGTATACATCTGCGCCACTGACTTCGGTTCTGAGCCATATCACCTAGGGTCTCCAACCACTGGTTCCTCTTGTCCCGTGGACCCCAACCACCTAGTCTGCATCGTCCTACATGGCTTAAACCAACAGTCAGAGACTTCATACATTGGTGCCATGTTTTAGTCTGGCCACCTCGGGCCTTTTTCCAGCCTGAACCCACCTCAGCCAACATTGTGTGACGAGGCAATCGGTGACTAGGCATACGTAGTACGTGTCCCAACCATCTCAGTCGATGAAGGTTCACAACCTCGTCGACTGACTTACCTCTTCTCCCTAAAACTCTACACCTAACTTCTGCATTACTCACATGGTGACACCACGGAATACGTCCTATACTACGAAGGCAACGGTGGTCAAACACCTGTAACCTTTTCATGTCTTCCACTTTCAATGGCCATGTTTCACAGCCATACAGTAGAACAGAGCGGACTGCTGTGCAGTACACGCGACCCTTAATAGACAAACGAATATCACGGCGGCGCCATAGGTGGCGCAAATTGGCAAAAGCCAATCGAGCCTTTTGTATCCGTGCAGAAATCTCATCGGCAACTAACCCACCGGGTTGATCCTACTTCCCAGGTAAGTGAAGTGGTCAACACACTCAACCACTTCACTCTCTATTGTTAACCGCGGTACCGCTGAAGACCAGTCCTGGAGCAAAAATTTGCATTTGGGTGGTGAAAATCGCATCCCAAACATTCTCAAATTCCCACTCAAAGTGTTCAGAAGACTCTGCATCTTGTCAGCGTCTTCACCTAACAGGACTATGTCATCTGCATATTCTAGATCTAAGGAAAATTCACCTGTGATTCGGTCAACGTCTTTGTAATTAGGTGACGAGAGGGAAACCTCCATAAGAATATCTATGATAAAATTAAATAAGAATGGGGATAGTGGGCATCCTTGACGGACACCACTTGATGAGTATAGCTCCCTGGACAACTCACCATAGGCTCTAACATGCCCACAAGTGTTCGAGTAGAGAGCTTTCAATAAGGTGATGTACTTACTAGGCACGCCTTTCAGTGACAGACACTGCCATAAGACTTCTCGATCAACGGAGTCAAATGCCGCCTTCAGGTCGAGAAATACAGCTATTGTCGGGCGTCTGTAAGCATGCCTATGTTCCAGGACCTGGCGCAGTGTGAATATTTGGTCGATACATCCACGGCCAGGTCTAAAGCCTGCCTGGTTTTCTCGGGCTTGCTGTTCCCGAGCTCCACTCAGGCGTCGGAGAATTATAGAACTTAGGATCTTAGACACTATGTTTGTCAGGCTGATTCCTCTGTGGTTATCACAAGAGGACTTCTCGCCTTTCTTGAAGACTGGGATGATGAGTGACTTAGACCAGTCGGAGGGGATCGTATTTGATTCCCATATACTGGCTAACACTTCCGTTAGCCTGACTAAGAGAACTCTACCACCATTCTTGTATACCTCAGCAGGTAGTCCGTCTGGTCCTGCTGCCCTTCCCCGTTTCAGGCTACCTACCGCTTTCTCAACTTCTTCTAGTGTTGGGGGACCTGTCTCTATGTCCCATTCAGGGTCCGACTGGATAGCGGGCAGCGCAATGGTGGCTGGAGGCCAGTTAAACTGTTCCTCAAAGTGTTCTGCCCATCGTCCCAGTCGCCTTCCCTGCGAGTGAATCGCGATCCGTCCTTCTCCGCTATAACCTCACTAACTGTTGTTGACCATTTCCCCCCAGTCTCCTTAATAAGTCTAAATAACTGTCTACTGTTACCGATCGCCGCTGCCTTTTCCATCTCTTTAGCCTTTGCTGCCCACCACTGTTCACGATCGTTGCGCAGACTTTTCGTCAGTTTATTTTTAAGTTGCGCTCGCTCTTCATTGTACTCAGAGCCTGCAGGGATGCATTCACGTGCATCCATTAGTTTGGAAGAAGCTGCTGATATCCACTGGCTCTTTTTAGCCATTATCTTGGAGTCGGCTACAGTCTCCAGTGCTGCTTTTACAGTAGACTGAAGATGGCACCAAGCTTCTTCTGGATGAGTGACAGTCTTTTGTTCCGATAACTGCCTAGCCAACTTCTCACTGAACACGGCTTTGGTGTTTTCGTTGTCCAGCAGAACTCGTAGTGGTTTTGTTGCCAAATTTTTTCTACGTCCATTGAGACGCAGGCATATACGTGCTCGGACCAACGCATGATCGCTGTCCAAACACGTACTCCAGAAGGAGCGGCAGTCTTCCACCGATCCTCTCCAGCGATGACTAATAGCAATGTGGTCTATCTGTGTCCATCGCTGAGTTGAGCTCGGTGGACGCCAGACTAGTGATATTGATTTATAATAGATGGACATTAAATATGGTGAATTTAACTCATAATTGATGAGCCTTTACAAATAAGTTCTTCATGCATTTTACCCAAAAAAATATTCAAATAAACCATTCATAAGAGATCAGAGAACGCCGACTATCTTAGACTGTTCAAGTGAATACAAGTACATATATATGATCAAACTTATGAGCATATCAACCTTCATAAAATTATTGATACTCCTTACTAATCTACAACCAAATAACTTAAATAACTGACTTTGAACCACTGGTTTATGGGTTTTGGTTCGACTTCCCGACTTAAATTTTAGTGTTTGTATTTGTTTCGGTAGATTTGGCTTGCAACTAAAAGCATCAACTGAATGGCTACTGAGGTGAATTTAATTTATTTACTTCTAACTGCAAAATAATACTCAAACAAATTTCAACCTCTAGATGCTTTGTAAACATACACACCATATAACCATTTAATGAAAGCAAGTGAAAGTAACTTACCTCTAAAACTTGTTTCAACTCTTTCAAATTAGAAGTAGAGGAAAGAACTGCATATGATGCATTTGTAAAACCTTGAGCATATATTGCAATGAGCATTTCGTGTACGGAATCAGGGATCTCTGAAGGATCACTTGGGACTATTAGAATAAGCCAGTCTGCAAACTGAGCAAGATCAAGACATCCGAAAAGATCATCGTTGCGCGCACATATAAGGCTGAAGTATTTGTTTAGAACTTGTGAGCGGAAAGTGACTGTATTTTGCAGACAGAATTCTGGTCCTTTTAAAATCTCAATCTTTGGCTCACATGTTTGAAATAAGAGTTGAGCCAAATGTGTAGGTACTGAAGAAGATAAAGGAATTAAAACACAAACTATGGGATTTTCCCGAGTTCCACGTGTTGCCTCAAATTTTTTCATCTAGAATGGTCAGGATTAAATACTTATGAACAAACTTCTAGCTTTTTCTGTATGCGTAGCTGCTTGGAACGCAGACGGCGTTGATTTTTGTTCAATATCTAAAATAGTAAATCAAATACAGTTGATGTGATAACTTTGAAGATATAAACTTGGTTGTGAAAAGTACTGTATAAAAAACAGACCGGAACCAGACATTGGTCGAGAGTATGGGACCCAGACAAATTTCGTTTACGATGGTCAGGATAAATAACCACTCTGGTATGTTACGAAATTAAACTCTTGAGGTAGTTGCAATCACACGCTTACCCAAAAGTGTCAGACATATTAAGACTTAGTCATCTGACATAACTGGAACTCGTTAATCAGTCTGAGGAAATCAGAAAGTTTTCATGCTTTCTTCAGGGAAGGCTGAACACAGATTTCTCTTGTCAGATATGAAGACCTACTTGCAGGGACAAAATACACGAGTAATTCTTGACTGGAGGGGTTATGAACGTAACAACTTGATCAAGATAAACATGACGTTATTAACGGTCAATGAATGCAACTCAAATAGATATCACGAGTTTTCCATTTACTTATTCTCAACGTCTTCGGAAGTTGAGCCACAAGGTTTCAACTTTTCACAAAACTTACGGCAACGGCTAGAGAATTTATGAACTCATTTCGCGACCTTCTTCTGACTACTCACAATATTCCCCAACGTGAACCAATTTCAGCAAACGTTGCTTGTTCATGTAGACGACTGTGATACCAATTATGCGCACAGTAACCAACTGAGATGTTGCAGGTTCAAAATCGTATCGACATTTATCCTTGCTTCAAACGCTAAAACCAACCTCTACTCTCCTTCTTCTGTTAATCTGCTACACGTGAAAAATGATGCAGTGACACCTGTGATCGAGGTCTCACGCCTACTTCAGAACCCCATGTCTCAAGAGTAGAATAACACTATGCATCATACACGCCACTGAAAATTCATAGGTAACGGTGAAAAAATTAAAAACACGTTCAAATTTCAAGTTAACCAGACACAACAGTGAATTTTGCCAAAAAGGAGAAAATCATCCGCACAATCCCGGTAATAAGCAAACCACAGAAAGGTGGGCGAATAAGGTCGTCCGTCAATACTCCTATTCAGAAGCTGAATAAGAAAACTGACGGAGACGTCCAGAAAATACTACTAGTGTTTGTTCTCTTGGGAGATTAGCCAACATGAGCACTTACACACCTATTTCACACTTATTGAGAAGTCACTGCCACGAACTCTGAACACTGATAAAGTACAGTACTGACTCTGCTGCAAGGAAATATGCTATCACGCACCCCCATGTATGCCCCTGGGACGAAATAAGGCAATGCACTGTCCTTTAGGTATCACATCACCCCTCTTATGATACGTTTCGTTCCCTTGTGACTCAGTCGGACAAAATAAATGTCAGCTTCACTACAGAAATAACAAACAAACAATAGCCAAACGCTAGCTGTTAGAATATACGAGTAAACAGATACCGCGATTGGTTTCCTGAGATGAATTCTGCAGATGCCCCCAAGACGTCTACCTATCTGGATCACCTTTATTACTTCAGTGTTACAGAAACCCGCATTTCTGACTGTCAATAGGTTTCGACTTTTCAACAAAATTGGTCGCATTTGGTAAAACCCATCTAATACATAGCACAAATTGCACTCGGCGAGAGCACCGGCAAAAATTATGGTCCCTTTTACTTTTGCTCAACATAAGGTGTACAAACAGCAGTCTGTATTCAGTTGAGAAAAACACAAGTCAATGGAAACAAAAGACTGTGAGGTAGAGAGGAGTAGTTTGTCTCTATAAATAAACTTTTCTGGCCTCCCTTCAACAGGGGAGAAAACATAGCCATGGACTAATGACCACTCCTCAAGCTTTATCTTTCTCCAGGCAATACATGTTACGTTTAGATGCGAACCCTGGTGTTTTTGTCAGTGCAAAAACAATGTTTCTACCTACCTATCTTTTAAAATTTTGAATACTTATCTCCCCGGGATGTCTCATCTTATAAACATGAAACATTTATGCACTGTAGTAACAATAAGTGGTGACTGCAGTCACTCATGAGATCACCTGCCATAAGGATTTACAGTACCTTATTACTCTTCTTCATGCATCGTGACTTTTCACTTCTATTTGTTTGTTTCTTAGTCCCCTTATGCTTCTTATTCTGTTGCTTTAGGGGCCCACTTCTGTGCGATGCACGAGCCATCGTGAACAGACCGTGAGACCTTGAGAGCAACCTTGAGAGAATAAATCCCCCCTCAAGGACTCGGACATTTGAAACTGCTAACGTCCGAAATCAATGGTCCTAAGTTCGCATTATGGTCTTCGTTTGAATCATATAATAAGTCAGGAGCCAAGTTTCACTTGTGAATCTTCTGAGGTCTTGGACCGTAGATTTTTTTTGTGTATCCAATATATTTTTAAGGGCTAGCGTAAACCATCTGATTGTTTCGAGCTCGCTTGTAGGTCTTAAGAAACGGCCCCAGGTCTTTGGTGGATTCCGATGTAGTGCGCCTACCCACTTCTCTGCTTTGCTTTGGTAATCCGATGGGCGGTTAGGTGTTGATTAAATCGCTAGGGATTGTGTGGTGCATATGGGTTCCTCAAGTGTCGTGCCACCAGATAGTTGGTCGGGCTGGTTGTAAAACGAAGATAGAAGAGATATCCAAAGAAACCAAGAGAAAGAAAGTGCGGAGAAAAAGACACAAACGAAATACGATAAGGCGAATGGAGGGGAACGGAAAAGAAACCAAGGTGTATTCATCGGAGAAGAGTGATAGGTAAGTAAACAAACGTTTTATTCTCGCGTTAAAAAAAGATTTTAACATGAGAGAAGCCAGTTTACAGGCTTTATCATATAGTGTGAGAACATAGAATAAGAGAGAGGGAAGAGATGGTGCATTTGATGTAATAAGATGGGTTGTGAGAAAAGAGATCGTAATGCCATTTGTAGGAGATGGTAACTGGAGGTGATATCTACCAGGAAGTATAGGGTTGAGGCAGGTCCGCGATAATGGGGCATTACAAAAGATTCGGTAACGGGTTGGCTGTGCTGCGTTGCGCGGAGTTAGTAGGTTGTATCAACCTAGTCTATGTCGTAGCTGTATGAGCGCAAACCATGCGTCAATGCGTAAACGTTCAACTTCTTCTTGAAGCTGTCAACAGCCTGAGTAGTAGCAATCTCGGCAAGCAATGAGTTCCAGTGGCCGCAAAATCGCAGACAGAAGCTTGAATGCATACGGGTTTTCGTCCTTTGGTAGGCGGTTCTACTTTGGTTACCACCAGGAGCGGTTGTATAGTAGGATTCCACTGTTTTGACGACTTGGATTACTTAGCATTCTTTAAGCCGTTATCGAGTCACCACGTAATCTACGGTGGCCAAGAGAGTAGAGCCTTAGGCCTTTCAGCCCGTCCTCATGGGGTTTTGCCTCACTCTCACGACGCTCTTTGTTCCTCAGCTCTGGACTTTCTCCAGGAGGTTCACGTCTCTTTTCAGGTATCTTGGTACAATGACGCTGTTGTCCTCTAAGTGAGATCGTATTTAGGTCATGTACAGCTTCAAGAAGAGTTCCAGAGTGAGGTCACCTAGTTGTCTGCGCATGAAGTGCAGTACTGCGTAGGCTCTGAAGGCATCTTCTAAACAACTGGGCCTGGTGTCTAGCGTGTTGGCGAGTATTAGTCCGGGGCCTTTCTCCATGGTTCTGTGGGAAAGTTGCGTCTTACAGAGACAGTAGGGTACTTTCCAAGATCCAGGAGTGTAGAGAAACATGGTTCGACACCTATCCAGTTCAAATGTCAGTCCGTTAGTTTCTGCCCACTCTGAAAGCAATCTGAGATCACTTTGCATTGCACTTGATTCTGCTTCGGATGTCACAGTTCTTAATAACTTAGCATCATCAGAGTAAGGTAGAACTTGGGAGCTGGGATTCAGTGGAAGGTCTTTCACAAAAAGAGGGATTAGCGGCGGACCCAGAACCGATCCCAGTGGTATACCGGACGACGATGTCCCCCGAGTCGAGCAAACCCTATTGGCTTTTGTGCAGAGTTCTCTTCCATCTACCTAGTCGTGTAGCCGGGAGAGCACTTCACCCTTGAAACTCAACGATGATATTTCATGGATAGGAGTGGTGTGAAGGACTGTGCCAGAGGCCTTAGCAAAATCCAGGAAAATAACATGAACAGGAATTTCTGGGCTCCAGCATACCATCCACTTACCACCGCTGGCCAAACTGTTTGAAGTTTTCGATGCGGGCCTCTGGATTCTTTGTACGAGAAACTCTCACTTTAGTCTTCTATTATTATCGATTGGCCCTCAGTGATTTCGCGCACGCGTTTCTCGTTTTGCTAAATAGTATGGATGTGTGTTTGTTACGTTCCCGATTACTTTGTTCCCAGTAGTGTCTTTTTACGTATGTATTTAATGTTTGGATTCACCTGAGGCCTAGGTGACTTGCAGCATTTTGGAGTGGGACAGACTGGTTGGTGGAGTAAATGATTTCTCCGAATGCAAATCTCTGACGGGTGTTCCCATCCCTTCCTTAAGTGATCAGCTTCCCAATCTGATTTCCCGTTCTTCTTTATCAGCTGGGATGTTCAGTCCTCTGAGGTATCACGGGCACTTACTAAAGGGTTAAGTTACTTTGGTTTCACAGAAATCGTGAGGGCCAATAGCAACATAAGGGTGGCAAAGTTACCTGTCAAGAATTATTCCTCCATGAAGATACAGCCTCAGCGTGACGATACTCGTCTACCTCTGCACCGCTTTACAGCTCACACAGTTCTCATTAGTTCTGGTTTTTCAACTGGGTTGAACAGTCAGGTTTCAAATGAGTCGCAACTTCCCCTGAACGAATGGTCCACAAAGTTAGGCTTCCTTAAGTTAAAATCTCCTAGAATTAGAACGCGAGTGTCGTAGTTTAAGAGGGCAACTAATATCTTCGGACGTCTATTTGTCGTTTTGGACGTCAGCAGATGGCTTCCTACTAATTACTCCCACTAAGTACTTAGTGGTCTTGAACAGCCTTATGGAACACCAGACGGGCTCCCCAAAACGGTCGAATTCATAAAATGCGTATCCAATGGGCCGTAAGAGAAGAACTGGCAAGAAGTACAAACCTACTCCTTATCAGCTCCCCTGTCGGTGCAAATCAGCATGGTATTGGCAACAGTTAGCCCGTGATCTGAGATTTCGAGAGGAATACATATCTCACCTTTAAGAAGAGCGATATCATGTAGTCACGAGAGTTTATCCACTTTATTAGGTAGATTTGTGCATTTGCACAGGCGTAGTCTATGTTCTTCGCTTTGGATGCATTTTCGGACGCCTCTTGGTTGTCCAGGTTGTTGGCTGGATTCTTAGATGTAAGGCGTGACAACCTTTCCAGGCATGGTTTGCCGGCTAGGCGTTCCCTGCCTTAATCAAGAAAATCATCCCTTGTTTACTGTGATAAGCTTGCGGAATCTCCGGAAAAATGATCATCCACCATAAAAATACTGTTTCTTAATATGCAAGAAGTAGATCTCAAAGAACATTAAGGTGTATACTTCAGCAACTTGAGGCACCCACGAAACCTGACGTGTTTTGACTCAGTTGCATTCTTCTCGGAAATAACCATATATACACTTCCCCCGTTGGATTTTTCCTCTGCAAAAGTAAGTTTTACTTGAAAAAGCATTTTACATAGCGCGTGCAACCCTCACTCGATCAATACCATCACTCTCTAAAGAGACAGCTGTGTGGTGTCTCACTGTCCCAGCCAACTTCTATGGCTCAGGCTACTGCATTTGCAGCATTACTTATCTCACTTGATCGTACATCCTGGATTTGTGGGGAGCTTTTCGCGTTCTTCTGGGTCGTACAGCCAGCCAAACCTAGGTAGGGTTGACAACTTACCTCAGCTATCACAGCTTTTCTGCGTCTCACTTGATCTAAGCATTTGTATCTCACTCACTCATATCCGCCCTGATCAGCAGCAGAAACGAATAACAACAGTGTTTCAGCCAAATCTGGTCTCTGGAGAGCCTCAGCTATAACCTACTTTCGTTTGACAGTAACTGGGGTCGGAGGCAAGAGGCTTTAAGCCGCCGCAACGAAGCATGGTTCAACCTCAGGGGAATAGTCGCAACTACCAACCCCTGGAAAAAGCCGAATTCCCATCCTTCGGAACCCATGTGTTTTAGCTCATCAAGGAGCATGCCTTTCTGGTGCGCCCAGCTCAAGCCCTGGCCTGCTTTCGAAGTCCACCACTGAGAGACGGAAGAGAAGGAAAAGAAAGTCTTTGACTAAACCTTCCGGCCAGACTGACGATTGTCACACGTGTGGTCTCATAATAGCTAAAGAGGGAGCCGCCTTTGAGTGAAACATCCGCAACAAATGGATACACAGTCAGTGTAACGAGGACGTACCAGACTAATATCATGTCGTCACGCGCGTCATTCATGCACTTGGTTCCGGCACATCTGCCCACAGTGCCGTGCAGGCTAGCTAAGAGAGGTCATTAAAGGAGCCGAGATGCCAGCGCCCGCACCGGGTTCTACCCCACGTCCCAACAACAAGGGTGACAGCATCATTTCTCGCAAAGTCAGACCTGTGAATGGTCCAAAAATGGTCAAACGACGACCAGACATGGAACCAGCGACGTCGGTCACGAACCCTGTAGTTGCTTCAACGGCCACCCCAACCGTACATCCGGAAAAATGGGTCACAATGGAAAAGAAGGCGCACCCTTCTCATAAAACCCACTCACAGTACATAACACAGGGGATGTTGATGACGTCCCTGTGCACCATGACGGTCTCCCTTAGAATGGATAGTCTTTTGACAGACAACAATGGCAAGCGGTATGCTCCACACTAGGACTGGGCAGCTTGGAAGCAAAGTTGTGCGGGCGCAACAAAAGCAACCACACACCTCACCGCCGGTGAAAGTGACCCTGAGCTCGGCTGGGAGACGGAAAGATTCCTGTCGCTGCCACACAGAAACACTAGTCATCAATCGGTCATCAAGCATTCAGTCTAGCGCGGGCCGGTCACGTCAGCGAGAAGACTATCTCGCAAGCCCCCCACACGCTGAAACCGCTGACCATGATTGTCTACGGCATACCAAAACTAACAACTGGCATATTAGTGGAGAAATGGGCTCATGATGTTCAACAATGGCAGTGGTTTTCTGTGAGGATGGGGTTGAAAGGGATAGCGGGGATGGCGTCTTCAGACTTCCATACCCCTCACGGTTGGCGACGGTAACATCGG